AGATAAGATATTTGGATTTGATTTCTCTTCACATTATTTTGAACTGATTTCAAGATCAAGAGATAAATCAGTGAGAAAAATGAACCTTAAATATGTGTACCTTGTCCAAAAGTTCAGGAGTCTTTTCCTACTAACTAATTTGAATTTTCCTGTTCTGACTTTCATGGCTTAGATATCTGAGACATAAAATTTGACTTCATATATCATAGGATGATAAATTCTGCTAAGAAACAAAAGGTCTTTTATCATGTGAATGTTTATACCATGTAATTTAGACTAACTGTCTTATAAAGGATAGCTAGAAAAAACAAAAACAAAATAAAACACAATCTATCTCAAGGTACTGAAGAACAAAGAAGCCAAAATGAATTACTCCTGGGCCAATATCAGGGAGAGAAATTAAACTTATGGACATAAACCCTGTTCAGACATTCTTCATTTAATTACCACCTTGTTCCATGACCTACCCATAAGTATGAGTCGTTCAGACTTACAGCCAAGGCACACCATTTGAGATTTAATGACCCACCACTTGGACATAGGATCCATGTATTCTTTGTACAGTTCTGTAATCTTGTTTATAAAAGCCTCATGTCTTTTTTTTAAACATGCATCATATTTATACAATACTCTAATTCTCCTGATTGTTCTATATGTGTGTATTTGGGGGCTCCTTATCCACTAGTGGCATCTGCCTGTTCTATGACAGGCAGTTTATAATACTGAGAAGTGAAGATGTTGACAGATTCTATAAACCCTCAAAGATATCACTGGTTCCCACATTTCACGTTGGTGCCTTAAGGAGCTGCATCCAAGGGGTAAGTGTAAAGCAGGAGATTCACCATTGCTGAGATTGCAGCACAGTTGATGTCTTAGTTACTTTTTCACTCATTGCTGGGACAAATGCCTGACACTCAAAATGAAGGAGGGAAAGGTTTATTCATCTCATAGTTACTGGAGGGTTCAGTCCATATTTCGCTGGCTCGAGGCAAATGAGAGCAGTTCATACAGCAGAAAACAATGAAAAGCAGAGGATGAGCAGCAGCTGTGGCATCCATCAAGCCTCTCTCTTCCTTCTCCACTGACTGCCAAGACTGGTGCTCCACAGTGAAGACTAGAGCTCCTTCAAAGACTGGGATTTCTCCAGGGAAGTAGGGAGGGCTGGGCCCCCATGCCCCGAACTGCCAGAGCTGATCCAGCCAAGTTGACACAATGTTTCAACTAACACAGTTGAAAATTATGTTAATCTCTAAAATCAATACAGTAATTTTGGATTGAAATGGCCCTAAATGAATGTAAAGAAAGACTGCAGTAATCCTAAACCCCAAACTACTTTTTATGTTTTTTACTGTAAATGAATTACAGGAAAATGCTGACATATGTAAGTGGAAGCATGGTATAGGTGATTTAGTTTTTCACAGGGCAAAATCAAGCATTCAGAGCATTGTCTAAAGAAGGTTTAGTACTGTCTTCATTTTCAAATACTGTGGTGAATTATAATATAATGGCAGAACATCCTGGGCTAGTTGCAGCACAAAATTGTGAGCAGCAATCAGAACGTTGTACACTTTGAAACTTTTGATTTGTTCATTTATGGAAATTTCCATATATTTTTGGACCATGGTTGACCAAAACTGAGGAGAGGAAAACCATTGAATAGTGCATTTCTTGGTTACTTTTTTTCTTGCTGAGACAAAATGCCCAACAGCCAAAGTTAAAGGAGGAGAAATTTACTGTAGTTTTAAGTTTGTAGGGATTTTAGTTCATAGTTTTCTGGCTCTAAGGCAGGATGCCATGACAGAGGGGCACAGCAGAGGAAAAACAGTTTATGGCAGGCAGAGAACAGAGGAGAGCCAAGCAGCAAGTAGCAAAGGAGCAAAGCAGCCAGGCATGACAGCAGCCCTCT